AGCCACATGGTTGTAATGTTGCTGAAACGTGAAATTATGAAGCATTGAATATCACAAGGTTTTGAAAACGTGAAAATATTAAACGATGCACACAAGTGTAAAATATAACGTAAAGTCTTATGTGGTCAAAAATAAGAAAAAGAATCTCAAACAGAATCCGCTAATTAACTATATTTTTCATACATTTGTCCGTTAAAATTGGGAATTCATTACTGTATATATTTCGAATACATTCTTATATGTGATTAAAAATCTGATGCATCTAACGTTACTGTGAGATTACATTAAAATATTTCAAACAAGACTTTAATATTTTCGTACGTTGCAGCAACATTACGAGCCTTCAACGAAATATTACATCATTTCTATAGGATATCTATGATGTATATAGATTCACACTACACCAGCTTTCTACGAAACTTTCTTCAAACTGGAGTTTCTTGGATTGTGTGTATTGTATTTTATATCACTGAAATGAATTGAAAATTAGATATATATATTTTTATCTAATTCAAATATGTACTGTGCGATTGAGTAATAACCCAAATAGTTGAATCGAGGTATAAAGTATCTTTTCTCGTTTCTCAGGATGGACCTAACATACAGAATACAAAAACGAAATGTATAATGTTCATTACTCCAGTAGATGTATTTGATTCAATTGAGATAATTTTAGTATTGACTTATTGTCTAAGGATTGAATATGTTATTATGCTTGTTATTATCTGTGTCATTATTACGAGAAATGATACGTGACGACAAATAGTTTATACACACACTGTGTTTACCTATTATTATAAGAATCCATATCTCATCGAGTGCTGATGACAAACTGTTAAATTGTATTGGTTTTGCACGATATATTTTTATGTGTTAGAATGGGTTGTTTTCGTTTCGATTGAAACGAAAAATGTCGAGTTCGAATCATTGAGACAAGAGTCGAGGAACTGTCTGTTTTACGCTGTATGTATGTACATTATGCGTAAACGATTCTCGAATGTACTATGTACACGTTATTAATGAGATACACTTATTGTTAGATGATTAGTATTCACTTCTATCAGTGCAGATTAACTTTAATTTCGGTTTTCCTATCTAATTCTTAGCAAAAGATAGAAATAAAGTTAAACCGAGATTAAAGTTAATTTGCATTCATAAAAATGGACATAAGTTTAATATATATATGTACATGTAGTGAACACAAAAAAAAAAATTTTGTGTAACATTATAATAACGAGTGAAGAACACGGCTAACTCGTTTAATTTTAATTTTGCACAGGTTTTATTAGAAAGAAACATCTATTTTAATGGATTATGTTATTATTTAAATACGCATAAAGATGTACCATGTAAAAAAATATATTAATTCTTCCTCTCAGCTCTGCTGTTTAAACAATTACACCGTACAACTCTCTCTATTCTAAAATAAACTTTTAAGTTTTCTCAAATTCAGCTGATTTCTTCTAAACTTTGCTTCTGGCACTACTTCTCTGCTATTTGCATTTAATATTAATCGCTTTAATTAAAATACAAGATAGCACACAATTTATCCCATGTGCCATTAGAATAAAAATGGGAATTGAGAGCGAATCTTGAAGTAGAAAAAATGCTTAGTCTCAAGTGGCTTTGGAAAGTGACTAATCCTTAAAATGTTTGTATTTTTACAATACGACAGATCAGTCGATTTTTTTATTTTATACACACTTGACTAGGTGGTATAATTATGTGACGGCTGAAGAGAAATGGAATTTAGAATGGAAAGATTGGTCTCAACATTAAAAATCACGGACACGGCGATACAACTGTATTTACAAAAGTGACCATAATCATTCAACATTGTTAAAGTTCCTGGCTGCTCCTCGTTGCATATCTTGAGTTATAAAAGTTTCTATCAAAATTTCTCCCTCACGTTGGGATAAAATAATTTTTCATGTATTGTACAACTTATGCTGTAAATAGCCAAGTCTATCAGGAATGAATTTTACAGATTTGCAATAGATTTGCAATAGTGATTGGCGATAAGAAACCGAATTGCGATAAGAAGCAGAATTGTGTCCCATATATTCTATAATTTTATGTGCTCTGCAGCTAATATCTTACGTTTGCGAGTTCTGCTAATGGAACATAAATTTCGTATTCAGTTGATGCCGCAATTTCTGCTTAAATTTGTTGACAATTTACTTATTAGGATAATATAGAATAGTAAAGTATATCTTTTTACCAGGAGCTTTAACTTTATATTTGATATATAGTGCTACTATAATAATAATTATTAGAAATTTGTTCGTTATTTATTCGCATTGCCATAGTCGAGAAGAATTAATTCATCCGTTCCTTCACCTTCCTAGATTCCGAAGGTAGCTTGGGCAAGCTTGGAATAATAATCTAATAGTTACGATTCTCGACTAAATTTTGACATGCTATGAAAGAATTATCTTATACAAAAAGAATTGTAACCGTTTTTTACCATAAAAAACTTGCTTCTCTATTACATAACTTGTTAAATGCCATTGAACAATGCCAATCCGCACCTAATTTTAGTAAAGCCGATATCGTAAAATTTTAATTTAATATGTTATATGGTATTATATATTTATATATTATATATATGGTATTATATATATAATACCATATAACATTATATATATATCTATATACAAACCGAATACACTATGCAGCGAAACAATTTCGTTAATTATTTAAAGATGTAACCCTCTTTCTTTCTCTTATAAAATACCCTTTTCTTTTTTTAATACACAGGCCAGTACATTAAGATTATTTATTACAGACGCATTGTATACTACTATCTCTCTCTACAATATCATGTTTTTGTCACAGCTAAAAAATAAGGACAGTAACGAATAATGTCTAATTATTAATAATATGTGACCATGTCCTCGATTGTTGTATTTATTTATTTGGTGATATATTATTAATTTTTTTTACGATTTATTATTACATACTTATTTGTAAATTCTGTTTAAATTAATTGTTCGTACGTTATATTATTTTATTTGAAATTTAACATAATATGCATAAATGCGTACATTCTCTGCGTACAGAAGAAGCAACCTTTTCTTCTAATAAAATTGCATCTTAGCGGTAGATTTTAAATATAAACAATTTAAAGCTAACAAATATGCATAGGTGATTGTACGCTTACGTACATACATCAGTACGCAAAATACAATCAGATTATATTTATTTTTGCTTTTATTATATGTTTATAACGATGTTCTTTTTTTACATATCGATTTATTTACATATTGAAAATATTTTATCTACGTGAGATAAAAATATGGATATTTTACGAATTAATAAAAATATTCCGCTGGTATAGTCTTATTATAACATTTTCCTACCTACCGGCGTTTCATCTTTTTGTTAATAAACCTGCAAGTTTCTTCTTTCGTTAAAACCGCGACGCGATTTATAAGAGTTCCGATTTGAAGTTATATCCGCGCAAATGGGATTTAATAGGGGTCTTGTTAATCTCGCACATATGCGAGAAGATGTAAAGAAGATAAGAATATATAACCCACCCGAATTTTGACAAATAAGAAGAAATCAATTTATTTCGTACGTCACCTTACGTAAATATCCCATCAAAGTGGCCAATATTGACCACTTACCTCGTCGTATTCCCTCGTTGGGCCAGATTGGACATACCTTTCGTTGCTCCTGGCCATACAGTGTGGTCATTTTGACCAGAGATCAGGAAGGAAGAAAACTCCTTCCATAGTCGGTTTATTATCGTCACCGACAGATATTTCGTACGGTTCGAACTATATGCGAGCGTCGATCGTATCGAAATGCACGACCACGAAAAATTAATTAAAGAAGAAAATTACTTAAAAAATTGTTCTGTATAAAACTACTCAAACATATTTTTACTTCCGTTATTTATTCTAGAATACATAATGACTGTCTCTTCGTGACTCAATCTTTAAATTCAAAATTCAAGTATGCATGTATGCAAAAAACAATTTACTTCGCGTTATATTTATTATAATTACATCCCGTGATAAATTTAAATTTATAATACGAATAAAATTAAACAATTAATAACTTCTGAAAAACTTTTTTAACATACTAATCGTGAAAACCGACCGCGAAAATACGAGATTGCGTGTAACTACACCCTCAGAAAGAATTTCTGTTACCGAGACAAAACATATTCTTGACGCATTTATATTTCTCACAACCCCATTTAGTATAATAAAAATAAGACAATATCAAAATAAAATCAATAATTCTTATTCCCCTCTATCGAATTAAAAAAGAGTGACTTCTTATATTGAGACAAGAGTAACTTATAAAAAGTTTATATATTCTTGCGTTTAGAATAAATTTTCCCTTCATCTTGCAACACACGAAGTTGGCGATATTCGACAAAAGACGATACTATCATATTATTCTAAATTTTAGAATTTTTCATTTAAGACGAAAATATTCCTTTCCCTATAATAAATATGATTGGCGTTATATCGATTCTATATTATGATACATTGAAGTGTAATAGCATTGAATCCGGAAATTTTTTCTGTGGGTGTACGCATGTATTCATGCGAGACGCATCTTGAAAGTGTTGCGAAATACACATACAGAATACATGACGTGAGATCCAGAGAAAAGAAGATTACGTACGATAGATAGACGGATAATTCAATATTTTAGTTAATCAATAACTCAAATAATGTATAAAAATATTATAAAGTTTCCGCCTTCTCGACAAAATATTAGAATCTTACGTCATATTATTTTACTTTATACATATATACATTTGTTAATAAAAAATGGATAGACTACAAGATATTAGCTCGACGAATACATCATATTCATCATATTTTGCGTGAAAATATGTGATGTGCTACAACGGGACACCCAACCCTCTACAGTTAAAATCGCGATCATTCCCTTTCGTTAAATGGAATATATAAAAATTAATACAAAATTATGTTGTAGTCTATCAATTTTAAGGCAACGGTTCTACGAGGTATACTAATCTACGATCTATTGTACAATCTACGATCTACGAAATGTAGATTCGTTGCCTTAATTATATTATACAATTTATCTTTGTTGTAACGCTATAGTTGCATGAGAAATACTTGTATAGAAATAGTTTGTTAAGTTGGTGTACAACGTCCTCTCGTCCCCTTCCACTTTTCTCCCCTCTAGCACTCCTTTTCGTTCAGTAGGTCCAACTCCTATGTTACTTTTATTCTCACTTGTCATTAGTAGTTGACCGATCGTATTGACAAATATTTTTTTCACAAAACAATTTGGCAATTGACTTCTATTATAGCGAATTCAAGGTATGTAATTACATCTTTTATTTCTCACTTTTAGTTACTGACAAAATTACTTAATTTTTGTTTTACTTCGATTTTCGGTGTGACAATACACGTCGAAGCACAACTTATTTTATATTATTGACCATAGTTTATATGATTTATATTATAGACCATAATTTTATATGATTTATTGTTGTACAAGATATTCGAGTATGCGTTGTGAGTGTTTTTTTACAGGTTTTCTTTTAAATTATTTTTCGTTTTCAAGTTTCAAGATTCACTGAAGATTGTTCAGTCCAATATACGTATAATTTTAATGTAATATAATTTAAAGACACTAAGAACCCATTACGGCTCAGTTCCCTCTTTCTACTTGTCTGATTTAAATACAAACAATATTCAATTCCATAGGAAGATATCGATCATTCATATTCATATCGTCCAGATAGCTTAAAACCATGAAATTATATGTACATATATGTGGAATTTCCTGTGCATACCCTTTTAACGTAACATACTTCATAATCACATTTTAACTTGTTAATAATAATTTATTATCCATGAAACTTACGAATAAATTTGTTTACTTTGATACATATACAGATTTGAGTAATTTATATCCAACTGTCAGCTTAGTTTTTTATATTTAAATATGTAAGACCTGCAATATATATTGAAGAAACTTACATGCGCATTACACTGACAGAAATATAGCTTCTTAAGGAATTTCTCGTTGCACGTTTGCATAATAATTTCAAAATTGTCAAAGGTATTTGGTTCGTAAAAGTACTTTAGTTTATCATTAATTATTATGTCCTTCCTAAGCGCAAGCAAAATTGCGTTCTTATCATTCGTGCACTTCAATTTTTAAACTCTTGTGCGACTTTGTTTTCTATTTGAAAATCATTCTAGCCTCGATATTTTATGTTAAAATATCACATAGAATCTGTTACGAAAATATTTATTGTCAGTTTACGGACACCTGTATACTGTACAATTATTATACATATTTACGTAATATTAATTAATGTTAAGCATTTAGAAATGGATATTGTAAATTAATTTTTTTATATTAACAACGCTCTCTTCTAAATGATGTTATAATTAAATATTAGTTTGGATATTATTTTGAGTATTTTTGGATTTACTAATAGTGTCCTATCTTAATGATATGTTTATGCCCCAGTTACAGCCGAATAAAAATAAAATTCAACAATTGTAGGATAATATAATAATACGTACATCATGTATGACAATCGTAATTTGATATCAATTTGATAAAACTTCGTGCACATTTCCCCATCCTGTTGTTGTTGGAATCAATATGCGATTTGTCAATTATGAAAGGATTATTTTTAAAAATTATATTTTTAGAAAGGTAAACAATTAATATCGACTAAGAAATGTATCATCTTGCAGCATAATGAACAACACAGTGACTTTACTGAAGCGTGTCGCACGGGCAGCATTTCAGATATTAAGTACTATCTATTCCTCATCTGCATACATAGTATGGCTAATGTTACTGTTTCCTGTAAAAATATATATACCACAAGTATATTGGCGAATCGAAGGCCTACTTTACGACTGGTTGAACGCAATCATGGCGTCGTGGACCTGGTCCGCAGGCTACGACAGTAAGTACAAATAGTGACGATGGAAATTGGCAAGGAATAAAGCCTGTCGAATTTTGAGGGAAATTAGTTTTGCTTTTGTTTGACAGTAATAGAACAAGGTGATGACATACAGAAGATTATAAACGAGAAAACGTTAGTTATGGCAAATCATCAGACCGCGGGCGATAGTGTTATATTAGTAACAGCATTTCACAGCAAACCAAATTGTTCACCTAATTCATTGTGGATACTGGATATAATGTTGAAATTTACTAATTTCGGGATAGTTTGTATCTTTCATCAGAATTTCTTTATTGTATCGGTGAGTGCCAAGTGTCTCCATAAAAGTGTACGTGTACGGAATCTATTGAATAGATTCACTGTTACTGTGTGTTGCAATGCAAACGTAATGTAACGAAACGCGGATTATTTGTTATATTCAGTTAATATATATTAGATAACTGCAGGGACGTGAACAAAGGGAAGAAAGTTTAAAACAATTACGAAAGCATCTCATAGATTCGTACATACCGCGAGATAGAAAATGGCTAGCATTATGCCCGGAAGGTGGATTACTATATAAAAACCGAGAGAGTTCGCAAAAGTATGCTAAGAAGAACAATCTGCCTATTCTTGAAAATGTGGCCCTACCAAGAGTAGGAGCCATGAAAACGATTATGGATACCCTCGGGCCAGCACGAAGCAGGGACGCAGAGGATCAATACCGGAATAATCGACCAAGTAAAACTTTGTGTTATCAATTATTGTACACTAATTTTATGGAATTAAACTGTACATACATATAGTATACACAAAGTTTGCTTATAGTGATACTATTACGATTATTGCTGGAACTATCGTATTATACGATATTTATTATCTACAGGTATGACGGCAGCCAATACAGAAATTAGTTGGATTCTTGATATAACAATAGGGTATCCTGATGGTAAACCGCTCGATCTAACTACTATTGTAACTGGTTGGGGACCTCCGTGCAAGACGGTATTATTTTATCGACTTTTCCCTAGTTCAGTGGTGAGTGACTTGACGTGAGATATAATTTATGCAAATGCGCACAGCAATGTGTTATGTATAATATCTTACAATGTATCGTAGGTTCCTCATGAAACAGAACAATTAACCAAATGGTTGTACGACAGATGGGTAGAGAAAGAAGCACTGTTGGAACACTTTTATAAACATGGAACATTTCTTGGCACAAATGGATCAAACAGGACTAGTACCAAAATACATCTGGATCCATTAAAAATGATAGTCCCTCATTTATTCTTCATAATGTCTAATTATATACATGGTAGCATGCTTATGTACGTGCTATCTTACTTTTGGTAAGATATTTTTATATCATGTGCGACGCACGACGGTCCAGTTTAAAAAAGGAAATCATCCCATACAGTACGCATGTCTAAAAGACTTCTTTAAGTCGTCTTTTAGACATGCGTGTTGTATGGGATAGTAACGAAGTAAGATATCTTTGCCTTAAACATGCATTTTGATGTTTATGAGAATATTCCCAAGAGCTGTACAGATAATTAAATTCAGCAAGTCTGCCTACGTTATAAGCAGGGTTGGGAAGTAATTCGTTACTTGTAACGAAGGTGCAGTTACAGTTATTTCTTTGTGGTAACTCTAACTTCGTTACTTTCTCTCCGTCTGTGTAACTGTAACTTAACTCAGTTACATTTTTTCAATAACTAGTAACTAATTTAATAGTTACTTTATATATTGTTTAAACCTCCACAAATCGCATAGGCCTTGCCTTTGCGTATAAGCGCTACCCTAGAAGCACAATTCATTGGCTATACATTGGCTGACATTAATTTAATATTAATTATGTTGGCAGTGCATTGGCCAATATTTTCCCAATATAACACCAATATTGATCATAAAATAAATGCAAACGTACTACTGATATTATACCTAGATGATTATTCAACATTGGATTGAATGTATTGGCCAAGATTGTCCAATAAAATTGTAATATTGAATATAGAATAAATACTAATGTAACGCCAATGTTACGTTTCAATAATTGCACGGTATTGTATTTACACTGAAAGTACATTGCAAAAATATGAGGCCCTCCACCACCCCCGCCTTTTTTGATCGGCGGCCCTCTTTTCTGTACAATGTGATTTTTTACAATTTTATTATTTATTTCATTTTTCTTGTAATTTCCTTTACAATATATACAATATTGTAAAAGAAATAATTACATTATAAAATGAAAAATATAATATCTATACAATATAATATTTCTCTCGACGTTACATATGAAATATTCGGTATGTATACAATAACATGAAATTCTTGCAATGTAAAAAATATACATATTGCATGTTTGGGATAAAAATATCCCGAATATATTTATTAATGATTTCTTAAAAGTAAATAACTCTAAAAAAATTTTTAAAGTAAATTTAAAGTAAAACCTTAAGGTAGTTGTTTCGCGACAGTAATGCTCAAAAGTTTCTTCCAGACAGGAACCAGCACTCAATTATTACAATGATATATCTTGGTGCAATATTGTTCTAAAGAATACACTTACGATTAATACATAATATAAAATAGATTCGAAAGATTGTAGTTTGAGGTGCTGTCACATCTCTTACGCTACACTCATGTCTACTACATAATTCTTCCCATTTTTCAGTTTTAACTGTTTATATTGTTGAAACGAAGCGGTCAATAATTTTCATTTTTTTCCAGTTATTCGTTCTATTTTACTTTATAACATATTTGTTTCTCATACGAATCTCACTCATCGTTAAGCTTTAAAAAAATAAAATGTGCCACCATTTGCGTTTGCAAACGCAAATATTAATATTCTAAAACATAATAATATGTGTAAATAATATTTGACATGTAATAATATCACAACGAATTATATTGTTACACGTAATAATATTTTTAACGTGTTTTACACGTAATATTTCGTGTAACATAGTAAATTTTAACAATTTTTTTTGGAACTTTGAGACGGTCAATTTTAATTTAGTTAGTCTTATTTTGCACGTATTTATGTACAGAATAAACTGTAAAAATTTGAAACAATTCTCACATAACTGATTTTACGAAAGAACTACCTTAACAAATATGCGTAACAACTTCTATCTTATTATATGCATCCGATTGCATATTCAATATTATACTTTTATTATTTCTACAAGTAATGTTGTAAAATTTAAAATATATACAACAAAATTACAATGTAAAGTTTCTAATAATTATTTTAGTGTAATTTAATATATTTTATTAAAAATATATTAACTTCTAGAGTTTTTTTCATTAAAAATAATGGCAAATGTAATTATATTTAATAGCAATACATTACAGTTATAATTTTATCTATCTTTTTAATTATGGAGTTGTGTCCCTCTGTCCCTGCCTACCCGAATCCCTACCTATCCGTATTCCGCTGTATAGTTTTATTCATTTTCCTACCTACCCGCGTATCATCTTTTTGTTAACAAACCTGCAACTTTCTTCTTTCGTTAAAACCGCGACGCGATTTATAAGAGGTCCGATTTGAAGTTATATTCACGCAAATGGGATTTAATAGGGGTCTTGTTAATCTCGCACATATGCGAAAAGATGTAAAAAGAAGATAAGAATATAACCCACCCGAATTTTGACAAATAAGAAGAAATCAATTTATTTCGTACGCCACCTTACGTAAATATCCCATCAAAGTGGCCAATATTGACAATTTACCTCGTCGTATTCCCTCGTTGGGCCAGATTGGACATACCTTTCGTTGCTCCTGGCCATACAGTCTGGTCATTTTGACCAGAGATCAGGAAGGAAGAAAACTCCTTCCATAATCGGTTTATTATCGTCACCGACAGATATTTCGTACGGTTCGAACTATATGCGAGCGTCGATCGTATCGAAATGCACGACCACGAAAAATTAATTAAAGAAAATTATGTAAAAAATTTTTCTGTATAAAACTACTCAAACATATTTTTACTTCCGTTATTTATTCGAGAATACATAATGACTGTCTCTTCGTGACTCAATCTTTAAATTCAAAATTCAACTATTCATGTATACAAAAAACAATTTACTTCGCGTTATATTTATTTTAATTACATCCCGCGAGTATTAGTAACTTTTTGAAATTTTAAAAAAATACTAATCGCGAAAACTGACCGCGAAAATACGAGAATGCGTGTAACTACACCCTCAGAAAGAATTTCTGTTACCGAGACAAAACGTATTCTTGACGCATTTTTATTTCTCACAACTCCATTTAGTACAATAAAAATAAGACAATATCAAAATAAAATCAATAATTATTATTCTTCTCTATCGAATTAAAAAAGATTGACTTCTTATATTGAGACAAGAGTAACTTATAAAAAGTTTATATATTCTTGCGTTTAGAATAAATTTTCCCTTCATCTTGCAACACACGAAGTTGGCGATATTCGACAAAAGACGATGCATACTATCATATTATTCTAAATTTTAGAATTTTTCGTTTAAGATAAAAATATTCCTTTCCCTATAATAAATATGATTGGCGTTATATCGATTCTATATTATGATACATTGAAGTGTAATAGCATTGGATCCGGAAATTTTTTCTGTGGGTGTACGCATGTATTCATGCGAGACGCATCTTGAAAGTGTCGCGAAATACACATACAGAATACATGACGTGAGATCCAGAGAAAGAAGATTACGTACGATAGACGGATAATTCAATATTTTAGTTAATCAATAACTCAAATATTGTATAAAAATATTATAAAGTTTCTGCCTTCTCGACAAAATATCACGAGACACGGTAGTGTCTCGCGCCAAGTATAAGCGACAGATATAATAAGCGGCAAGCTAGAACCGCGCGCGCGAGATTAGAATCTTACGTCATATTATTTTACTTTATACATATATACATTTGTTAATGAAAAATGGATAGACTACAAAGATATTAGCTCGACGAATACATCAATAATATTCGTCATATTTTGCGTAAAAATATGTGATGTGCTACAACGGGACACCCAACCCTCCACAGTTAAAATCGCGATCACTCCCTTTCGTTAGATGGAATATATAAAAATAAATACAAAATTATTGTACTCTATCCATTTAGGCAACGGCTCTACGAGGTATACTAATCTATGATCTATTGCACAATCTACGATCTACGAAATGTAGATTCGTTGCCTTAATAAAAAATTTTCTGACTCACCATCCGACGCGCAGCAGCGGAGTTTAACTAAGTTGAATCTGTAACATAAAAAATAGAAGATTTATATTAAATAGCGTTCAAGAACACAAAATAGTGCAAGGTATAATTCATATGCGTATCAAACTTTTTATTCGGTTAGATACGTTTACATGATTATTGCGCGAAAGGTGTTCCGTAAAAGTCGAGATCTTCACGAGAATAAACTTTTATTAAATCTCAAATTACTTCTCGTCCTTTAAGTATTATTTCGAATTTATGGAATTATGGGTAATTGTTCAGAATAGCTACATCACCTCCAAAATCAATCAAATTAGTCTCATTCGACGCGTTTTTTAACGAGAAACAACTTTTTCCTTAGACAAAATCGTCGCTCTGCCCTGA